TCAAGTATACAGTTTTGTAGAGCGAGCTTTGCTCTATCTTTTGAGATATTGCACGGACTCAGTCAATGAATCATTTCAGAGAAATTATCAAAATACTTTACATGTATGATAGAAGTTATATTTGTTTAGTGGCACGTGAGACCTCTTCCATGTTTACCTCATAACTTTTGAAGGGAACAATATAAAAGTCTGAAACTTTGGATTTATAGGTTTCTACACATGGGCTTTCGTTTCCAATAATAAAAAGGGTAGGTCAAAAATTTGAGAGTATGGCCTGTGGTAGCAATGCTCGATGCCCTCATGGACCGTCTCTTAAAACACAAGTACTTGAAATCTCCAAAACTTCCAAAATTTCCTTTTTCGAAATTCTGAACATTGCTGAAAGATAATCGATGCTTTCGCTACCCAACATAAGAACAGCTGAATAATGCTGAAATATCTGTTGTTTGTTTACATTTTTTCCTGTTATTTTTTTGCTGCTTAATTTCACCTAATATACGTGGAAGAAAACATTTTCAGCTCACTGTACAAACATTTTCTGATTCTTTATCAACAGATATTAAACTATAAGAGTTGAATAAAAAGAGAGAGATATCATTCGGTCGATTATTCTGTCATATCTGGTCACTTTAGATCATACAAAAATGTCTCATTGTTTTCATTGACGACATCGGTCAAATAGACAATACATCTCAGCAAAGGAGAAAAGAACAGGAGTGAAAACAGATATGGTAGATTCATCCATTGAATTGAATGACTTACCTGATGAAATTCTTATGATGATTTTGAAAAAATTACACAATTCTGATGTACTCTATTCTTTAATTGATGCTAATAAACGACTTGATACAATTGTAAAGGATTCAATTTTTACAAATAATTTAACATTAACAACACCTTTTAATGGTTTAAATCAATTTCCTGACACAATAATTGATCGATTTTGTCGTGAAATTTTACCTAAAATTAATACTAGAATTCAATCGCTTAGTGTTGAATCATCAACTATGGAACGTATTCTACTTGCAACAAATTATCCTAATTTACATCGACTTGGTATATATAATGTTCCATCAGAAACAGCTAGGCTACTCTTTATTGGTAACGATATTTTCTACGCTTTAAATGATTTGTTCTACAACAATAATCTATCTGAATGTATATGACATATAATAAGATTTTGCATTATTAGATGCAGATTTTTATTATAAAATCGTTTTCATTAATATTTACCGATGAATATGAGTTTGAGGAAAATTCCAAAGACAAGAGTTGAAACAAAAATACAAATATTATTTTATAATAGTTATATTCAATTAAAATTTCTTATCAAAGTACAAAGTATAGAATATTAAGATAAAGAAAAGCACTATTGATAATGCATTATAATCTATTAGAGAATTGAAATGAAGATCATCTATTAACAAGGAAAAGATAAGAAAATAATTTAAAAAATCTTGAATTTTAATTTAGATGGAAGTTATTTAATTCGTCTTTTCAAAAATCAAATTACATCACTTGTTATTTATATTAAAGAATCTGAAGAACCAAAAGATCAAGTGTTATTTATAGGTCTATTTATATTTCGGCCAATCTTGTCCATGTTCAATAATTTACGATATTTAAATTTCAGTTTATCATCTGAAAAGCCACAATTAAGTTTTTGTACATCACATCCAGCTCCTATCTCTTCAACTCTATTAGAATTGCGTGTTGTCGTAAAGTCGATGAAAAATTGTCTTTATTTAATTAGTGGTTGTTTTAGTCAACTTCATACGTTCTATGTTACGATTTCACCTTCTCATAATGGTCTTATATGTCCAGAAATCAAAAACAAAGTCAGTTATTCATATTAATATATGTTTTTCAATGAATGAATAATATTTGTGAATATTCATTAATTTTACTTTTGCTTTCTAGAGGAAATTGCCCAATTTAAAATGCTTTTCGTTTTTCTATGATTCAGAGTTATCCATCAACTATGATGATGTTGTTTCACTTGTACAACGAATGTCAAATTTAGAAGAACTTAATTTATTTTTTATCAGTCGTTATGGATCAATAATTGATGGTAATAGTTTGGAAACGAATATTATTAATCATTTAACAAAATTAAACAAATTCACATTTAATATTCGTTCAATTGTTCTTCTTAAAAATCTAGTTAATTTACCATTAAATGATGAAATTAAAAATACATTTAAAAATTTTCGAAATAATCAAATTATTTCAACTGTTGAGTATTTTTCTACAATAAATCAAGTTCATTGTTATATTTATTCATATCCATATATATGGACATCTTATTTTTATATAACAAATCACTTTGCTGATGGATTATTTAAATGTGTTCGTCGAATATTTTTAACTGATGAACGTCCCTTTGAACATGAATTTTTTCTTCGAATTCAAAATTCATTTCCATTTATCGAAAAATTATGTTTATTTAATCGTGAGCCACAAAAGAATGATAGCCAACAATGGTCAATTATACAATATTCTCATCTTACTCAGCTTGATCTTCGTTACAGTCACGAAAATTATGTCGAACAATTTTTAATTAATACTAAAACTTGTTTATTAAATAATGTTTCTCTTCATGTCAATTATGATAGTTTACGAAAAGCAACGGACAACTTTAAAAGAGATACAACACGAGTTAATTCTTTGAAAATAATCGATTTATATTTATACAGTGTATCTAAATCTGTTCGTGATATAACAAACTATTTTTCTCATGCAAAACTACATTGATTATTGTTACTTATTATTTTAATAAAATTGTGAAATAAGAATGGAGACAATAATATTTTAGATTTTATAGGAAAAAGATAAAATTATTATATTTGTCAAAAAAGATTATATATGGTTTATATGAGTAAGAGAAAAGCTACTTTGCAAGAAAAGAAAACTTGATCTACAATTAAGATTGTCATTGTAATTATATGTTATTAGTGCCTTTTTTTATAAAGAAAAAAAGGAAATTCGTGTTTGTTAAAAGTCTGAACACGATTTCATAAGATAATTACGCTGCGACTGACTCATAAGTGTTCTCTTGTTTCTTCGTCTTGCGTTGATAAAGGAACAACATCGAATGGAACTGATCTTCTATGTCTTTTCCCTATTGATAAGTAGTTTCTTCATGAGTAAATTATCATATTGATTTAGGTGAATTAATTAATATATAATTTAACTTCTATCATTTGACGAAAACTAGCAGACTGCTTATTTATATGTATTATCTTCGTATTTGTCTCTACAGATAGGTACGATAGTTATTGACAAGTAAGGAGAGAATAATATTGACTACGAAACTACAATTTAGCAATTGTTGAAAAAAGAAACAACTTTACCCTTTCATTTTTGAATAAGGTGTCTTGTTTCGATTTTGATTATGTATTTCACATCGAACTTAGAATTGTAGTAGTTTACTTTAT